TATGAACTACAAAAAGAATCTAAAAAAATCTAACAAAAATAAAAAAACGCTCACGTCGGTGTCGAGGCGGCGCGGTGCAGGGGCGACGACGGGCTCGGGGCGGCGCGGGGCAGGGGTGACGAGGACAGCGGGCTCGGGGGCGGCGACGGGGACGGCGGGCTCGGGGCAGGGGCGATGGCTGGCGACGACGTCGGGGCGCGGCGGCGCGGGACGCGGGCGGCGATGGGGGCGGCGCGGGACGCGGGCTCGGGGCGAAGATGGGGACGGCGGGCTCGGGGCGGCGTGGGGCGGGCTCGGCGGCGACGGCGACGAGGAGCAGAGGCTCGGGGCAGGGGAGAAAGAGATGGGATTTGGCGAAAACTGCCAAGTCCAGTATATATAGCAAGAGCATTGGTCCCGGTTGGAGGCTCCAACCGGGACTAATGCCCCCTTTAGTCCCGGTTGGTGCCACCAACCGGGACCAAAGGCCTCATTTCAGCAGCGCAAAGGGCGGGAAACGAAGACCTTTGGTCCCGTTGGTGGCTCCAATCGGGACTAAAGGGAGGGCATTGGTCCCGGTTGGTCCAACGAACCGGGACCAAAGATTTGCATTTGTACCGGTTGGTTCCATGAACCGGTACAAATGGACCCGTGTAACTACTTTTTTATTTTCTGCAACTCTTTTTTTGTTAATTCTTACTGCAGCTGTTTTTTTAGTCCCACCTCGCCAAGCGAGAGGCAGTCGCAGCTGTTTATAAGCCCTGAGTGCAGAGACGATGACGAAGAGGCTCAATGCTCCTGCACGTTGGTTAGCTTCAAGCCTTGAGGAATACGGTAGACTGCACAGAGCTATGTGCAGTGCAGTTGACACTATTCCGAAAGGCTTGAAGCAAATTAACGAGCATTGCGCCTCTTTTTTTATTTTTAATGACTTTACTAAAAAATAATTTTGACCGTTGCAGCCGGCGATGGTGGTCATCTCTTCAGTCAGAGGTGGTCGGCCTGAGGCTGGGTGTTCGGATCTCGGGATCTGTCATCTGGCACCAGCTGCGAGTCGGGGGGACGTAGTTGCCGGTGAAAACCGAGCTGACGGCGGGCGATGGCAGCGTTCCATGTCGTTACCATGATGAAGGCATCGTCGTGTGACTACCGTTGACCCACTCGTATTGCTCCGTAGGAAAACACTAGGATTTGGTGTTCCAGACCGGATGATGGCGGCACTGCGGTGTTATTTCTCTCTTGGGAGCATTGTTTTGTGGAGCAGCGCTGGAAGTCAGAGGAAGGAGGTGGAGCGGCTTAACGAGCATTGCGCCTCTTTTTTATTTTTAATGACTTATTACAACTCAAAAATAAAAAGAAAAAAATAAATGTAGCAGAAAAGAAAAAAACTATATAAAAAACCACTCAGAAATAAGTACAAGAAAAAATAATTTTGATTAACTTTACTAAAAAAATAGCATAGATGCTTATTTCAAATGAATTATTACAACTCAGAAATAAAAACAAAAGAATAAATATAACAGAAAAGAAAAAAAACTATATAGAAAACTACTCAGAAATGAATAGAAGCAAAAAATAGTTGTGATTAACTGTACTAAAAAAGGAGCATATATTCTTATTTTTAATGTCTTATTACAACTCAGAAATAAAAAGAAAAAAACAAATATAGCAGAAAAGAAAAAAATATAAAAAACTACTCAGAAATGAGCATAGATGCGCTTATAGAGGAAAATCAACTTAAATTCATAACAAATTTCAATTGAAATCCGTATGAATTTAGGCTAATTTCCCTATATAAGGGCATCTATTTTCATTTTCAGAGGAGCTCAATAAGGCAGAGAGGGAGGGGCTTATAAACTGGTCCGATTCCCCTTCGGTTGGCGAGGTGGGACTAAACTCTGGCCGCAACGAGGACCAACCCTTTAGTCCCGGTTGGTGGTATGAACCAGGACTAATGGGCATCCTTTAGTCCCGGTTCAAGCCTCCAACCGGGACCAATAGTGGTGGGCCAGGAGCGAGGACCATTGGTTCCGGTTCGTCCCGCCAACCGGGACCAATAGGTCCAGACGAACCGGGACCAATGGCCCACGTGGCCCGGCCGGCCCCTGGGGCTCACGAACCGGGTCCAATGCCCCCATTGGTCCCGGTTCTGGATTGAACCGGGACTAATGGGCTGGACCGGCCTGGACCATTGGCCCCTTTTCTACTAGTGGTGTTAGAATGTACATATTCTGTTGTAATTAGTCTGGCACGTTCAGTCCTATTATTGTGGATCTCAACCATCGCCCTGGCCTGGGTGCCTACTTCCTTGGGCTCTTTATATGTAATCACGGTTGTACTGTAATCTATCATCAAGGACAATCATTCTATTGTCTAATTTGGGGAGGCAAAGAAAATAAATGCCGACCCCAGGATTCGAACCAGGGTCGCTAGGAAACAACACAGAGCAGCTAGCCAACTCACCCCTTGTGTCTCAAAAAAAAAAAGCTAGCCACCTCACCCGGCTGGGCTTTCATATCTAGAAGAAACTTAACGTATTTGATCGTTATTGTCTCCAAGCCTGGCCGAGCTGGGCCGAATGGGCTTATGATCGTGTACGAAACATGGTTTGTTGCCAACTAATTAGTCCAACCTCGCCCCTTTCAATTAAATTTCACCAATTTATGGGTTGTATGATAATCAACAAGGAGCCTCGGTGTGGTGGCTGTACAATACAAGAAAATAGAGGCGAAAGAAAAGAGAGAGACAAAAAAATAAGAAAGGAAAGGTGCTTCCAAGAAGGAAGGACAAAAGGAAAGAGAGGAAGAAGAAAGGATATAATTACAAATTGCATGAGAAATAAAGAAGGAAAGAAAAGAAACATGACAGAAAAATAATAAAGGAAAGAGAGTCTCTAAATTAAAAAAAAAGAAAAGAAAAGAAACACCTTCATGGGACCGAAGGGGTGGCGTCCTCCCATGTTCTACTTCTCCTCGATGTTCGTGGCGGGCGTGGACGTGCTGGCCGACGCCTCGTGGACCTCCACGTAGCCGGCTTCTTTCTCTGCCAGCAGGACGCGATTACATGAACATTGACATTGGATGGCACGCTCTTGGGCACGGGAGGCGCAGTACGACACCACATCGTCCACAACAGCCACGATGCCTATGCCTCCGTGCTCCCCCGCATGTCGGCCTAGAGCAACCCGCCACTCTTCGGCGAGCTGCCTTGGAGCGGCAAGTTGCTGAACCACGTGCCTGCTTGGAGCTTCGGCCTCCGCGAGCTGGTCTGCAGCGGTATGGAGCGTCAAGGGTGGTGGAGCGGAGAGTTGCCTGGCTCGTATTCGCGGGCTCGATGGGCCACCAGGCCATCTTTTATGCTGGAGAAATCCTCTTCCTACTCACTGGATGCCATGGAGATTGTGGAGTGCAAGGAGGAGATGAGAGCGGAGTGTGGTGTGATTTTTGCCCCGTGCTTGGCCTTGTTTAAATAGCAGGTGGATGCGAGGAGCCAACCGACGTTATGTTTAATGACAGGCGGCTCACGAACAGACAACGGCCGGAGTAGGTTTCTCGGCACGCGCGCGGGTTTAATGAAAGAAGACCGTCCGAATGTATGCAGAGGTTTAAGGGTCGGTGCTAGAAATTGCCTTAGGGCATGAGCTATGGGGGCATCACCTAGGTGTGGTCTCAGCCTCCATCTAAGAAAAAAAAAACCAGGGAGGCCACCGTATGAATTTCTACCACCCAACCGAAGCAGCATCTGCGAATCAACCTGTGGTTGAGTTGGTTAGGTGAACAGTGGTATCCCCAACCCACCAGGGTTCAAATCCTGGTGCTCGCATTATTCTTGGATTTATTTTAGGATTTCCGGCGATGCGCTTTCAGTGGGAGGAGACGTTCCCGTCGACGACGAGGCGCCTACGGTGACTTCGTGAATCTCAAGATGATATGCCGGCTCAGTCTCTCGGAGGTGCTCATAGGGGTAGGGTGTGCGTGTGTGCGTTCATAGGGATGAGTGTATGCGCGTGTATATGAGCGCTTGTGTCTGTACTGATGCTAAAAAAAAAACCGAAGCAGCATCTCGTGGTGGTCCTCCTATCTCTCGCTTCATGACTAACTTTTAGTTTCAATCCAAATCAATCTAACTCTCCTTTAGGGCTCTTTCCTGTCCTCGTTCTAGCTCTCTCTCCTCCATTCCCTCCTGCTTTTTTTGCCTTTTTTCAGTGAGGAATTAAGCCGGTTCCTCTGCAAGAGCTCGTTTGGGTCTGCAAGCCATGGCCTTTTTGCTTTTCTCCTCCACGGTGGCTACTCCTACGTGGGGAAACGGTCCACCCTCGAGAGATGGTCATGCCCTTAAAGTCTAACTTCCCCACTGTATTGCATAACATCGATCGATAACAAAGTCGGGAGCTAGCTAGTCGCCAGTTCAAGGAGGCAAGGGTAGTGCGTTTTCTTGCTATAAATTACAAACTACTCCCTCCGTTCCCAAATATAAGTCTTTTTAGAGATTTCAACAAGTGACTAAATACAAAGCAAAATGAATGAATCTATACTTTAAAATATGTTTACATACATTCGTATATTATAGTCCATTTGAAATGTCTAAAAGACTTATATTTAGAAACGGAGGGAGTATTTGATTATATACAGTCTTAAAAAATCACATGGACGCACACATAACTAGCTTAGCAATATGCCCACACAGCTAGCTCTCTCTCCCTCCAACTATATTACTACACGGAACCTGTACAACTACTGGGTGCTAGCACAGTAGCATGCACACGTGCAACACTAGTAGTACAATACACTAGCTTGCTAGTTAGCTCCAAATTGTTTGGGTTTCTTTACAACTAACTAGCACACTGATGCATGTGCACGCAAGACTCACAGCACCGCGTATTTTCACAAACACGCTACAACATTACATATAGTACAAATTATTATCTCCGTTCCTGAGTATAAGATGTTTTGGTAGTTCAATTTGAACTGCCAAAACGTCTTATATTTAAAAACCGAGGGTGTAGAAAACACAATATAGTATTAATTTGAGTAGCTAAAACCAGAAATATTACCGGCATACACAGCCGTTGCATGCAGTGGTAGTTGCAGCCCAAGCCGGAGAGAAACCAGACACCTGAGCAGCAGAGACGCAGCCCACGCTATCAGCAAAGCATAGGCCCATAACTTGAGCATACCGGAAGCCCCATCCTCCTTGCCAGCAGCTGCAACTTGTTGCCTCGTCCAGTGGTTTAGCATGAACACAAGGTAGTATGTCAGGATCCCTGAGACGCCACATGACACCTGGAATGTCATACACCAGCCGGAGAGCCCAGATTCATCCATGGTGAACAACAGGTACGCGAAAAGAGGAGCAACCACCACGGCACCGATCAAGCCAAGCCAATTTATGTGTGCCTTCATTTTGTGGACGCTCATGACGGAGCTGCTGCCTGGTTTACGGTCGATGTGAAGAATGAACCAAAGAAGCACAGGGATGACCTCCGGCAAGCAGAGCACAACGACTTCCTCGCCCAGCCACTCTGCAGCTACCGTGTGCCCAGTCACCAGTAGGAGGATAAGCAGGGTCTTGTGGAGCATCTCCGATGCCGGTGCTATGCCTGGCGAGGCGCCAGCCGGCAGCTTCATCATCATGCGCGTCAGCGCCGCCACCGTGCAGCTTAGGAACAGAAGGAACTGGGAGATGGCGAAACCGTAGGCTGCATGGTCTGGTAGCTGGTCCATAACCAATAGCGCCCCAAGCGTCATCATCACTATGCTCACAAACTCCATAGCTTTCCTGTTGGTCTTCTCAACGACCTTAGAAGATCCTGGAGTGCCTTGAACACTCCTGCCACCAGTACGACGATTGAACTTGAGGTACAGAGCTCGTATGAAAACAATGGCTGTGACGGGAAAGATGGCGAGCCAGACGAAGCTCCAGTTGATGTCCAGTAGTATCAGATAAGATATGACCACAAGAATGACCGTGTCTCTGAAAATCCGCACGTTAGGACGGCATGTGTTCCACGACGGCAACAGATTGGACACGAACTCCTGCGATTTCAGAACTATATAGGGGCCGCAAACAGCTACCTCCATTGTGCCAGTTACCAACTCACTATAGTACTCCTTGCTGGTAAACCCATCATCACCTAATAGAGACACTTGGAAATTGACTAAACTGCTGGCCAGTGTGAATGTTGCTGCTATTAGGCATAACGACGTTCCATCCCTTACGCCAAGCCTTTCTGAAACACAATAGGGAGATGATCAGACCATAAATATATAAATTTATATACATATTGAGCTAAAGAATTACAATTATTTGTTTAGAATAAGTTGCGCCTTTGTTTATCCATAAAGCGCACATTTACAATATCAACATAATAATTTATGATCGGCTATCCTTGACTTTTTACAGGTGGCTCTTGCTGGATTGAAAATATGGTCATATATTTCTAAATTATCATAAATGTATGTGTGCATTATTGATCGACAAACTAGGCACACAAAAGATTATCAAGGCAGTGTGCAGAATGACGCAGCCGTATTGAGCTAAATATATTGTACTCCCTCCATCTAAAAAACAGGGCACACATGTTGTTTCATTCAATCATACCAAATCTAAGTGCATCTAGGCTCCCTATTAGTTTTGGTCATTAATGACAAGATAATAAAGAGAATTATTGGTTTTAGTAAATATCTTTCAAGTTTAGTCCAACTGAACAGTGGAAACAATGGATGGTGACCCCTAGTTTTGGGTCTCAAGATGGTTGTAGCCGAAGCCTCTAAGTTTGTAATTCTGTAGGTTTTTGGCGAATCAAAGATTCCACATTGAATCTTGCGACAACTGTACTATCAAGGGAGGCACATGCAAAAGATCTAATAGGTTTGAACACCTAATCAAGAACACCAAACAATGCGCTAGGAATTTCCCTTGAAACTCTTTATTCCACTTTTACACTATCTCGTTACCTCAGGACTAGTTCGCTGGTAGTACCCAGCCATGTAAGTAGAGAATGTTTAACTGAGTAAAGTGACATTTCCTCTAAGTTTTGTCCGAAATTCCCAAGTCTTTCCTTGCTTGCTCCGGCTTATGACTCATGTTTCACACTCACCTGATCTGTTAGCCAGGGTACCACCGAGCTATTTTCTCTCTGGCACTTTGGAGGTCTCCTAGTTTGCCTCACCAGCAGTTTGCAGAGCTCATATTCATAGGGTTCTCTACTGAGCCTGGTACCTCTGAGAAATTGAAGCACCGGTCTACGGAGCGCACTACTCCATCCTAGCAAAGACAAGCTACCTTTCATTTGCACCTCTGAGCTTTGTCTATTCGGTACCTCCGACGTACATGGAATCCATGTATGCTTCTACACAATTAGGTACCTTGGAGACACTTAGTGCACTCTTGGGAGCTAAGGTTTTCCCCAAGGAAAAAATAGCGCACTAAAAAAATAGCACCGCCCCTCAAAATACACTATTAGCATGCTATAACGCCTTATAGCGTGCTATTAGCAAGGCATTGTACATTGATTTATTTAGGGAGACAATTCTCTACACGTTATAGCGTGCTATTAGTGGCGCTATAGTGCGCTATTTTTTCCATTGGTTTTCCCTCGTGTCCGTTCAAGTTTTGAACAGAGCAGGCACTTCTGAGTGAAAACTTCCATTGTTGCGGTCATGTGCATTGGGGGCACCAAAGGTCAGATTTCCTCCCTTTACCCCTTTAGTGGATAGGCCCCTTTGCTCGAAAGTACCCCTTCGCTTTGTGTTTCACCTTGCTTGAGAGAGATCTATGTGCATTTGAGTTTTGTTTGTTGGTCTTTTTTGGGAGTTCATCCAAGTGGCATTGTTTTACTTGCTACTCTTAGAGGGAGTGCGCCTCCAAAATATTTAGGAGTCACTTGGGAGCATTTGAGTTGTGAAGGAGCCAACAAGTTTGCAGAGGCTCATAGATCACCTATTTGTGTGAGTGTCTACCAAGGGTGGGGCTTCCTTTGTGGTTGCTACACATGATGGGATAGATAGGGTAAGATCTATGCGGCAGGAAATTTGTTGTCGATCTAGTGTGATCTCTATGGTCTTAGAACTTTGTGTTCCAACATCCGCCAGTAAGGATGTACAATGGTACTCCCTCCGTTCCCGGTGCAAATCAATCTAAATGCAACCAGTTCCCGGTGAACGTTCGCCAGGAATCAATACCGAAAGAATTTTGGGCTGCACATTGCTTCGGCTGACGAACCTTCTGCCACCACACAAGTATTATAGCACAATTGCCAATTTAACGACAAATCATCGTAAATAACCTATTTGTTTGTACTTCATCTTAAAGATGTGGAGATGCAATACTATGACATCAGGGTTTCCTTTTTTTAAGAAGTTTGTCGAGTTGATTGGGGTTGCTGTGTAATTGGTTGGTTAATTCCTGCTAAAACCTACAGTTTTTGCAACCACCTCCACCGAACACGGCAATGGTGCAGACGAGGAAGGTGGTTTTCCACACCTTATGCACGTCGTAAGGAGAACGAAACCACAAAAGCATCTACCGACCTGATTTTTCTCTGATGTAACTGTAGTAAGTTCGCCAATTAATCTTAGTTAGCAGAAGGACGATATGGCTGACAGCATATGGGTCTAGTATAATTGTATGGTGATGGTAGCAAACACCCTGGTTTGTTCGTTGTGGGATTGGACAAGAAGTTAGTTGGACAGGACGTGTCGCCTGCTCTCTCTCTCTAGCGTGCCTATCTTCGGAAAATCCAACATACATTATACACCCTTCATAAAAAAAAATATAAGAGCGTTTAGATCAATACATAAAGGCTACTGCAATGCGCAAAAAAAAAGCTACTGCAATTATATTACTTCCTTCGTTCACAAATATAAAATGTTTTAGATATTTTAATATGAACTAGTATATATGGACTGAAATGAGTGAACAAATACACGAAAATGTGTCTATATACATTTGATTCAGAAAAAAGTTAAAACATCTTATATTTGTGAACATATGAAGTACTCCCTCTGTCCCAAAATATAAGAACGTTTTTAACACTATAGTAGTGTCGAAAACGTTCTTATATTACGGGACGGAGGGAGTTGTATATAACGTAACAACTTGGACATACATGTAAAAAAACAACTTGAACGTCCGAGAGAGTCGGGATAGAGACTTACCAAGCAATCCCGAAGGAGGTGGTGCGACTGGCTGCTCAGCTTGGCTGCCCTGTGACGCGATCTGTCGGTTTCGGATCCGCCCCATTGGCTATTATTATCTACCACTTCGTGCACCAATGTTTTCCCAGGCCGCTCGATCGATGGGCTGACTTAGTGTGGCTATGCAGGGAAAATACGAAGCAGAATGTGGGTACCAGCGCACCCTATATATAGAAAAAAGTTAGTAATTTAGAAAAAGTACAAAAAATTCCAAATCTTTTTGGTATCAAACATGATCAAGTATTGTAGTCGTGTAAAAAGATTCGTCGGACAATGACTTTCGTTGCATCTTGGGTCGAAGATTTGGCAAAAAAACGCTATATACAAGTTATTATGCACGATATATTGTCGTCATAAACTTGCCTTTTTGCCCAGATTTCAATAAGAATAATTTCTTCTCCAAACTTTTTATGCGAATACAATACCTGATCATCTTTCATTCCAAAGAAGGTTTGGAATTTTTTGAACATCGTTTGAATTACTAATATTTTTTGCGCATATAGGATGCGAGGGTACCCGAGAGCACCAAATTCCTGTCCAGCTATGTAGACATCTATCTAATATGACATTGCAACGAAATGATAGTAAACTCGTTATTGACGGCCCTCCATTAATCACATCGTCGATCG